AAAGAAAACGCCGCCTCACGCAGGGAGCTCACGCGCCAACGTCGGCGCGGTCGACCCCCCCTGTCTTTTTCATCGAGCAGGTGGAACATTCAAAGCTTCGCGTCGAATGCTCACTGCCCGTCGCTCGCTGCCAATCAGTGCGGGCGGCTTGCGCGGGCGGCTCAACGTGTTTTGCGCTGCTAGTGGCCATGAAATGATCCGCAACCGAGCTTCCTGCCATGCAGTGAAATGAAAGAGTGCTCACGTGCTGTCTTACTATCTTCTGTGGTCTATAAAGCTCGAGAGCCAATGCCCACTTGTCACAGCCCCCTCTTAAACACTCTGCCCTCATAGACGTCCCGTTCAGCTCCAAGACGCCCATCAAGAGGGCCCAAACCAAGCCTGAAAAACGAAGCAACACAGCTCGTGACCAACCAGGACAACCCAAGATGGCTCCAAAGCGGCGTACCACGGCCCCAAATCATCCAGGAGGCGGCCGAAAACACCTGCACCATGAAGCCGCGCAAGACCCTCAGTTGGTCGCCACGAGGAGTGAAGATGAGCTGAACAGACCCCCACTGATGTCGAAGAAGCCTTGGAACCAAATCGCCCAAAGCTCATAGGTATGGACCTCAACCTGCCCAAGGACAGTTGCAGGATGGCTGTAAGACATGTAAGACAACCAGTATTGCTCCAAGGTTCTTCAATCAGTATGCTTCCAACACGGCGATGAGAAGTCTTCAACCCCAGGCCATACGTAAACAGCACCGACAGGAGATCCGAAGCATTCGCTTGCGTCGCCCCACGTCACCAACTGTTGTAGACTTCGGAGCGCACTGGTCCTTACCGTTCATATGAGTTTCGTGTGGGTCACTGGAGGGCCGAGACGCCCCCTCCTGCATACTGCATCCGCTGGCTCCTCTTCCTCCTCCCATTTCCTCCTTCCCTCTCTCCTTCCCTCGCTCCCTTCCTCCCTCCCTCCTTCCCTCCTTCCCTTTTCTCTGGTCCAAGTGATTATGCCTCTCTGGAGCCTCCCTTCAGCTCCTCCTCCTCCTCATCATCATCATCATCCCCCTCCTCCTCCTCCCCCTCCTCCTCTCCTCCTCCTCCTCCTCCTCCTCCTCCACCTCCTCCTCCTCCTCCTCCTCCCTCCTCTCCGATCCCCGCCTCCTCTCCTCTCTCCTCCTCCTCCTCCTCCTCCTTCTTCCTCCTCTTCCTCCTCCTCCTCATCCTCTCCTCCTACTCCTTCCTCATCCTCCTCCCTCTCCTCTCCTCCGCCTCTCTCCCTCCTCCTCCTCCTCTCTCCTCATCCTCCTCCTCCTCCTCCTCCTCCCCCTCCTCCTCCTCCTCCACGACGTCATTCATAGTTTGTCCCGCTGAACCTCCATCCTCTTCCCGCACCGTCACCCCCGTCCCCCTCATCATCAACAGTAACGTGAGGAGCTGGGCCCTGGAAGGTATGGCACGGAACAACCGTAGCAAAGAGAGACACTGCGCAACGACGAGCAAGCACCGCAACATCGATTAGCACTTGCACATTGCTCGGAACATGGCCGTGCGTTTAGACAATCAGCGGCGAGTGGGGCACAAGAGAACGCTTCGGGGAGACGAAGAGGATTGGGGAGGTCGGAAGAGATCGAAGAGCGAAGCTCGGGGCGATGTAAGCACTGTTCCTGTCGGCAGGGCCCACCTTGAAACCCATCTTCTGCAGCATCCTGGTCTTCATGGCAAGCCACCCAGATGTCCTACAACAAGGCACGCCCCGAAGGAGGCAGCAAGACAAAGCAGGATCACGAGGATGCGAGGACGACGAAGCGAAGAAAAAGAAGAAACAGGAAGAAGCACGCGAAAGCGGGATGACGAGCTGATGTAAAGAGGGCGACGAGAAGAGGACAGGAAGACGAGGAAAGTCGCGAAAGATAAGGACGGCGAACGAGCACAGGCGCTCAGACACGTGAAAAATGAGTGTTTTACATGTGTGTGCGCCTGCCGAAAAACGGATGGCGACCACCTGGCCTACTTCCCCACGCGCCCTCAACGTGATCCTCCCCCTCCTCCTCCTCCTCGTCCTCCTCCTCCTCCCCCTCCCCCTCGCCCATCCTCATCCTACTCCTCACCCCTCTTCCTCCTCTTCCTCCTCCTCTTCCTTCTCCCCCTCGTGTTCGTCCTCATATTCCTCCTCCTCGCCATCATCAGAGGCAGCAGTAGCACTATCGGCATCATGCTTACCACCACCATCACCACCATCATCATCATCACCACCACCATCACCACCATCATCATCATGAGGAGCATCAGCATCAGCATCATCGTCATACTTATATGCGTCATCATCAGCAACATCATGATCGGAATCGCCATCGCCTTCATCATCATCACCATTACCACCATCACCACCATCGCCATCATCAGCACCAGCGTCATCATTATCATCGTTATCATCACCACCAAAATCACTATCAACATCACCATCACCGTCACCCGTACCAACACTATTCATAATCCCTGCAAGATGTTCCGATGATATATCATAGTCAGTGGGCTCCGCAAATGACATGGGTAAGAAAGGATAGCGCCGTACACTAAGGTAACACGGAAGGGAGGAGGCCGGCCCGCCGGCCGACGCACGCGCGCGCGCGCCGCAGGCTCGCTCCTTTTCCGCTTTCCTAGAGGTATATAGCTGCGGGAGCAGAAGAAGTCAGTCAGTACAGCAGACGGACAGCGCATGCAAGGAGAGAGAGCAGGCAGGGCGAAGGATTGGTGGTGCGGAGGGGGTGCATTGACTCCCCCCGCGGCGGGGTCCGTAGAGCCGCCCCGACCCCCGACCCACCTGGCCTGTACATACGCACAGCCACCGGAGCGAACCCCAAAAAGCATTCTACCCCTCAACGGTGGTTGCCAGGGGGCGGAAGGCCGAAGAAGCCCGACGTTCCCCGCCTGAGCTAATATTTCCAGCTCAGGCCTCAATGCCCATGCACACCTGGTGCACCCGCTCCACGAAATAGTGCGGACCAGCATCGACTTTGTCGTACTGGTTCCATTGCGCAGCATCACCTTCTCCAGCGACCTCCCCGTTCACGAGAGTCATCCCAGGAATCGCTGTTGCTCCAGCGCCACAGGTTCTGGTCCCTGGAGGAGCTGTCCTCTCTTCTGCTCGAGCTCCAGCCACTTGGCTCACTCTTGCCCCGGACCTTCTCCGGCGGTCTCGCCTTCGGCATAGGCGGCGGGGGAGGCACTGGCAAGGTACTTGGCATGCCAGAGTCACGCTGGAGCTTGTCGTTGTACTCGGCCCTTCCTGGGCCCAGGAGCGGTGTACACGCCACCTTGGCCTGGCCAGGAGCGGTGTATATGTATAGATCTCGTCGCTCGAGTGTCGAACTCGACACGGAAGCATGTAATGCGCGCAACAGGAGCGAAGCGAATAGCAAGCCAGCTCTGGAGGCTCCCGCTGACGCCCCGCCGCGCAGCCTCCATCGGTGCCAAAAGAGCCCACGAGTTCCAGTACGCATGTGCTGCATAAGATGAAAATACGCGTGCATCTAGAAATGTGGACATATATATATATATATATATATACATCTATATATGTATATATATACATTCACAGATTAGCCAACGCCCTTTATATCCGCGTCACGTTCCGTGATGTTCGCCCTTAGCTGACAGACCAAGTCCATGCGTCCAAACATCAAAGCACCATGGCCTCGTTGGTCCTAACATCCTGGAATGTAAGTCCGACGCTTCAGCAAATCAGTGTAAACCCAGAGGGAGGTAAGGTAGGTAAGGTACGGGAGGTAAGGCATTCAGAACAGTACCCGCATGCACGTGCTATTCAAAGTTCCAAGGTCGCCTCCTTGATCTCAAACTTTAGCGAGTAAGCATAATCAACCATGGTATGAACTATCCAGCGAATTTCCCGGAAGCTGATGCCAACGGTGTTCCCGTGCCTTTCGCTTCCCCAAGCGAGCTTCCGATGCACAATCGTGCTCCTGCTTTTACTCACGGGTTAGGCTGAAGATGTCGCTTCTCCTGGCCACACTCCACTGGGAAAATCAAAGTATGCGCTTCTCGTGAAGATAAGGCTGAATATACGCCCTCTCTACGGAAGTCCTGGATTGTCCACGAGTCACACTCGCTTTAGAAAGCACATGCATGTATGCATAACCGCTGGCCCCGTGGGGCCGCCAGACTGCGAGGTCAGTCTCTGGCTTCATCTGAGAATGTCTCCCTTTCCAGAGACCACATCCGCCCCCCAGCCCCGAAGTTCCCTTGGCAGCTCCCTCCCGAAGAAATTCGAAAATTCGCCCCGCCAGGAGCTCGTTCTCACGGGTTCCTCGAGAAATCCCCTCGAGAAAGAGCTCCCGAGCGAATTCCGAGGTCTCCCTCGAAGACAGGCTGCTGGGCGACGCTCCCTCGAAAACTAGCTCCTTTCGACGGCCCTGGGGAACTGCCGAGTGGCTCCCGTATCGAGAGATCCGCGAACGCATGCACAGCCGACTCCTATGAGGCCCCGCCTTCCTGTGCCCTGCCTCCCGAATTAAAGCTGCGCGTAGCCCGCCCAGCTTTTCGCGGAAGAGGCTCGCTCTCGCCTCGCAGATCAAAAAAAATGTGTGGCCGCCTCCTCCGCCAGTCCCGATCCTCGGCTTGACAGCTGCCCCCCCGTCCTTGTTCCGCTGCGTGCCCCCGCGCTCGCCTGACCAGTGCAGCGCGCCCCCCCTTGAAGGGGCCCTGGGACACACAAATAAATACACACAAGTAACATGATTCCCCATGTGTTCGTATAGTGTCTCGGTGTGTGTGTGTGTGTGTGTGTCTTTCCCCCCGCTTCCCATAGTGGTCCATATGTTCATGGAAATCGGCGATGAATTGTGTCTGTGTGTTTCTTTCCCTCCTGACCCCCTCCCTCCCCCCATCATCCCAAGATGAGGTCCCAGGGCTGCCCCAGAGGTGGCTCGCCAGGGACGCGCGCTCCTGGGCCGCCCAGGGGCGAGGGGCAGCATCGAGTCGCACTCCAGCGCGATCTGGGCCAAGGGGGGCGAGGGGAAGGGGGTGGGGGGGAGGAGGGAGGGGGAGGGAAGAATGAGGGGGAGGGGGAGGGGGAGGAGGAGGAGAAGGACGAGGAGGGGGAGGAGGAGAAAAGGGAGGAAAAGGAGAAGGAGAAGAAAAGACGCTGCGATCATCTGATCATGGACCGTGCAAAGCAAACATGATCGACACACAAACGCGGAAAGGGATATAGAAATGTGAAGCCTGGAAAATGCCCAAGACACCAAATATGAGCGACGAGACATTGCAATGCTCAAGGTAGCGATGGTGATGCACAGTGCCAGGGGCTGCGCTGTGCTATGCTGTGATGAACCGAGACGCGCCATGCCGCGTTGAAGTGCTGTGCTCTATTGCATTGCGGATCAGGTCGTCCGTGGAGTCAGAATCCCGTTCGAACTGATCTGAATATTGAGCTCGAGCTGCCTGAATGTGTAACTCAGATCTGGCCGCAAACGAAACGCGCGGGGTGCTCGACCAGCCTGAGCTCAAGATCCGATTCAGTTCGGAAGCGGGAAGAACCTGAGGGGCGAATCTGAACAGTTCTGTGCTCTGTTGCGTCGTGGACTGGCATCCGAATCCTGACAGCCTGAGCTGGGCCTCAAGCACGAGCTGCCTGGGCGCACGGCTCGCCCAGAGCTGATTGCAGTCGAGACCCAATGAAAGCATGATGTTCCGCAATAGGGCGAAATGATAAAGGCGAATCCAAACCGAGGCGACTGCATCGAGAAGGGACGGGCCGAAACGCCGACGACGACAACGGCGGCGGACGGCGATGACCGCGACAGCGGTTCCAGCTCGGGACCACTATGTGAAATGTCCAGCTGGGTGGCCTGGACACGTGAAAACCACAGTTCCAGCTCGGGACCACCATGTTGGATACCCCAATGGAGGCCTGAAAAATCACCAGCCGAAGAAAGCGTCAGGATACTACACTGACTACCTACCAGACCACCCCAACCCAACCCGGGTTGGGAGGGGTATGGGCTCCATATGTGTCTTTTCGATCTTCCCGGACCCCTCCCCCCCAGAAATCGAGGGTAAATCTGAGCCTTCGGGTTGGGTTGGGGTGGTTTGGTGGGTGGTGATACTACACACACCCGGTGGCGATGCACTGCTGTTGCCTGGCTCCTGTGGGCCCCCACGCTGGGGGCGCCCGGGCGGCCACACGTTCCACACACCCCTCGGCCGGCCCGCACACGTGAAGCACACGTGGTGCCAGCCCGTGGCCATCATGTCAGATACAGTCGGGGCGTTGACCTAAGGAACCCTAAACAAGGAACGAGGCCCCTTTTTTCCATGAGTTAAACTTCGATCTCCTATCGAAAACATCAGGAAAACCTGAGGCAAGCTGCGAAACACTTCAGGAACGCGGAGCCCCTCCCCAACGAAAAGGGTTCCTTCTTCAGGGCCCCGACTGTACCCCTCGGGGCGGCCTGGACACGTGAAAACATGTGGTTCCACCCCGGTGCCACCACGTTACGCGCCACCCACGGGTGCCCCGGACACGTGGAAGCGCGTGGCTCCAGCTCGAGGGCGACCCTGTCAGATGCCGTTCTGGGCCCACCACGCGAGGTGCCTTTTTCCTGCGGCCTGGCCACGTGAAAACACGTCGTGCCAGCGTGGGGCAAGAAGCAACCATCTACCCCACCCCACCCCTGGGCGGCCGGCCTGGACACTGACTACCTACCAGACCACCCCAACCCAACCCGAAGACCCGAATTTCGGGTTGGGGGGGGTACGGGTTCCACGTGTGCTTTTTCTATGTTTCCCGACCCCCCCCACCCCACACTGGAAATGAAGGGCAAATTGAGGCCTTCGGGATGGGTTGGGGTGGTTTGGTGGGCGGCCTGGACAAGTAAAAACACGTGATTCCAGCTCGGGACCACCATGTTAGACATCCCCTGGGTGGCCTCAGCCTGTGAAAGCACGCAGCCCCAGCTCGGGAACACGATGTTCGGTACCCCGCCACAAAAAATGTGGCCCTCCACAGAAAGAACCCTTCTGTAACCGCGACAGAAAGAGTCTACTTCCCCATAAAGAATCATCCTGTAATCCGCACAGAAAGAAACCTTTTGAAATCCGTCACACGAGGAATATGTTTGCAATTGCCTCGGAGGAGAAGGGGCCATCCTTTCCGAACAGATAGAAGGGAAAGACAAATACTTGAGACGAAGAAATCTGAAAGCCAATTTGAAAAGTAAAAGCTCTTGAGGTGAGAGAGAAGGACAATATGTAAGAAATGCCGAGACAATCGAAATCTGTTCTAATCCACCACAAAGAGTTCCTCTTGCTATCTACCACAAAATGAACCCGTTCTGTAATCCACCACAATATGATTCCGTTTGTATTCGACCATAAGAGGGATACGTTTGCAACCCCCGCGTAAGGAATCCTTGTGTGCGCATCGTTTTGTCATGCACTACACAAAGAATCATAGCGTAACTCGCGCGAGAAGAATCCTGTGTAATCTGCCATAAACAAGATACGTTTGGAATGCGCTACCAAAAAACCGTTTGCAATCCGCCCAAACTGGGGACTGTTAGGCAATCCGCCACAAAGAGGAATACGTTTACAACCGCCTCGGGGGAAAAGACGCCGCCTCACCCAGACTAATAAAGGGAAAAACACATAAAATTCAAGTACATAACAAACATATACAAAAAAGCACAGCAAAACCGCATGAACAATTAGAGGGTTCTTGGGGCACATGAAAAAGCATATTCTAGCACGAAGAAAACACAGACGAAAAGGTACAACCCGAATCCCTCTGAAATCTGCTGTAACCACCCACAAAAGAATCCTTTGTTTCTAGTGCACCACAAAAGAAATTCCTTGCGCAATCCGCAACCAGAAGAATGCTTGTTGTCATGCCGCCACACTGCAATGTTTCAGATTCCCTTCTCTCCGCTCAAGAGCTTTTCAATGTGTATGTGCCTGTTGCTTCGTATGTTTCTTGTGTTCCCCTTGTTCCCCTTACTTGTTTGGGGAGGAAAGCTAATTCTCCTACGAAGCCATTCCAAAAAGATTCCTTGCGTGGCGGATTACATGAGGCTTCCTCTTTTTGTACGGTGGGTGCAAAAAGGATTCCATTGATAGCGGGTAAACACAATATTCCAACTATCACGGCATTTGCTCATATCTTCCTGTCCTGCCCGCATGAGCTTTTCAATTTCTCAGATGTGCAACTCTGCTTGTCATACGTGTTTGTCACGGTTCCTTTGTTCACAGTTTCCCTTGTACTTGGCTTGGGGGCAGGACGCCTCTTCCTCTGACGCGGTTGCAAATAACGGCGTTCTTCAGTGGCAGGTGATCTAAGGATTCCTGTCGCGCGGATTCCAAAGAGAGCTTCTTTCGTGGGGCATTACAAAGGACTCCCCCTCCCAGGATTACAACAGGATTCCTTGACTGGAGGGTTGCTAAGAGATACCTCTTGTTGCGCAGTACAAAACGATTCCTAATGATGTGGGTGACATACATGTTCCTTTGTTGTGGAAAATTACAAAAAAACATGCTTCTGTAGCGGAATACATCAGGATTCCGATTGTTGCAGCTTTCCGAAATGAAAAAATGCGGCTGCTATATGTCCTATTTCTCCCCCCCTCCCCTCAAGAGCGTTCCCTGTTTTCCGCTGTTCCATATGTTTCTCTGTGTCGCTGTGTGGTTGTTCATGTTTATCCTTTTGTTTTCCTTCGTTTCCCATCAGTTATTCAGGGAGGGAATTCCTTTTCCTGCGAAACAATTACACAAGGATTCATTGTGTGACGGGTTGCAGAACGACGTCCCCTGTGCCGATTACATAAAGACTCCATTTCTGGTGGACTACAAAAACTTCGATCACGATTGCAGAGTGATTCCGGTTGTGGAGGGTTACAAACGATCCGTTGTGGCGGGTTACAAAAGGATTTCGTTTTATGTGAGGTTCCATTGCAAATAATACAACGACCTATTCTCCTTAAACGAAAATATCGCTGGTTACAAAAAGATCCCAGATGTCGCGACAATTTTCCCTGTGCTTGAACTGTGTCCCTCAAAATGTGTTCAATGTTTCCTGCCTGTCGCTGTGTCGTTATGGGTTGGCTATGATGTATGATTGTTGGTCCTCTGCTCCCTCTAATTGTCCGGGAAGGAAGGTTCCTTCTCCTCCGAGGCGGTTTCAAAATGATTCCCTCTGTGGCTAGTTATAAAATCATGTTTTGTGGCGGGCTCTGCAAAAAATCCTAGTTGTGGCGGGGTACAAAATGATTCCTAGTGTGGCGGGGTAAACAGCGATTACATACGTCTCACCCCGCCCACCACCCTCGCCTCGCCCCACCCATCCGCCATCGCCCCACCCGCCCGATACACAATCGTCGCCCCACCCTAACCCCACCCCTCACCCCATCCATAATCTTCCCACCCACCCACCCACCGTCGGCCATCCCCCTCTCCCGCCCACAGCCGCCCATCACCCCCACCCATTGTTTCCCGTGATTTGTTCGGGAAAGAAGGCGCCTTTTCCTCCGAGGCGGTGGCAAACGTATTTCTTGTGTGATGGATTTTAATAGAAAAAACAAAAAATGTGTTAGCGTGTGCGGATTGCAAGAGGTCCCCGCTTGTTGTACACTACACAAAAGGATTCCTTGTGTCACGAGTATAGAAAGATTCCTTTCGCGGGGGGGTGCAAAAGCATCCCTTCTGTGGCGGAATATCAAACGATTCGCCCTGTGGCGGCCACCTAGAAAGGATTTCTTCTGCGGAAGATTACAACAAGATTCTTGTTGTGGCGGATGACAAAAGGATCCCGACTGTCGCGGCCGTGTGTGCTACGTTGTTTTCCTCCCTCCAGGGCTGTTCATTTATTTCATGATGTTCGCTGCGGTGTTGCAGATTCTCGCGTTACGTGCTATGGTTGCCCCTGCTCCCTTTACTTGCGCGGGGGGGGAAGGCCCTTTCGCCCCCAGGGCGGCTACAAAACGATTCCTGCCGTTGCGGATTA